TGGTATTTTGGGGAACTCACTAAGCTTCGTGCTTACAGTGTTTTGTTTGATGTTTTACAGGTTTCTTTCAGTATCACGGGACGGCACCGGCTTGATTGTACACACCAGAGAAAGAGTCATATTTTGGAGGATCTTGGTTTTCTATGCAAGTGAAAATGGAGTTATGTTTTGTAAATCGACTATGAATAAGATTTTAAACAAGTGATTCTAAGAGTAAAATGATTATTTTAAATGAAAAAATTGTCTTGAAATTTACGGTGTTACAACCGGCACATCGATTGAGTGATAAACATTAAGGGTACCAAGTGATTTGCATGGTTACTTCACACCTCGTTTTGTGATCCTCAGTATCCCAGTCACAAAACTTGGAGGGCGCACTCGAGATTGAAACATGCCTTTCAAAAGTCTATTGAATCTCAAAAGAATCTTGGAATATCTAAGAACCAATTAAAAACCTAATAGTTTATATTTCGTTTTTTGGTGGAAATTGGTGAATCGTCATTCACCTACCTTTCAAATATGTTATAGCTTAGATTATGGCATACGTCTTCTAAGTTATAATATATTGTGATTGGATCCTAGCCTTAATATTACATTTGGGTGTTTTATTAAGGACTATCTTTATATCTAAACTAAACTTGTTCTCTTCTTTTCAGATGTGTTCCAACAACACTGCTTCTGGCTCAAACCCTACCGGGTCCTTTTCCCTTATGAACCTATGTGGGAGGGTCATCTTCGATGGTTCCAACTTTACGAATTGGATCTGTAACATCCGGGTGGTGACTCGCTATGAGGACAAGGAATATGTCCTTGATAAGGAGCTGAAGGAGATCGATGAGTACACTGCTACTCCTTAGGAGATCGCTGACTTCTGGACTCATGAAAGAGATGCCACCAAAGTGGCATGCATCATGATGGCCACCATGACAGCTGAACTCCAGAAGTCCTATGAGGACTACTGCCCTTTTGAGATACACCAAGATATGATGGAAAGATACCATCAGAGTGCTCGTCAAGAGCGGTATGAAATAATCTCCTCCATGATAACAAACAGGATAAAGGACAGAGAATCTGTCATGACCCACATGTAGAAAATGCAAAGGTATGTGGATCGATTGCTGAAACTTAATGTGAACTTCCCCGAGGAGCTTGCAATAGATTTCACTTTGCACTCCTTACCTTCATGTTATGATCAATTCCACATGACATACCACATGAATAAGGAAGAAGTCACACTCAGAAAACTTCAGGGACTCCTCAAGACCGCAGAAACAGGTCTTAAAGGTAAGTCGGTTGTTAACACTCCTACTCCTACTCCAAACTCCGCCCCTGTCTTGGCAATCAGGAAAGGTAGAGGGAAGAAGAGAAAGAGCTCTTCGAAGGGTACTAAGGCTAGGACCCTTGATGGCTCTTCTTCAAGTGGAACCAAAAAAGGTTTCGTCACTCCTTCTTCTGACCCAAAAGAGGCTGAATGCTTCTATTGTCATGAAAATTCACATTGGAAGTGGAATTGCCCAAAGTACCAACAAGATGTGAAGGATGGGAAAGTCAAACCCAACCATGCAGGTATTTACACTATTCTATCTAATAACTCACCCTATTCTAACTCTTGGGTCCTTGATACCGGTTTCAGTATTCATATATGTTCTGATTTGAAGGGACTAAGAAGAAGTGAGAATGTGGAGCATGGAAAGATAAACTTGATCATGGGGAATAGGAAAGCTTCACCTATTACCAAGATTGGAGTTTATTCTTTATTGACAAGTAGTGGGTTAATTTCAGATTTGAATAAATGTTGTCATTGTACTCGATGTAAACAATGTATGTTGGTATATTACATGTGTGATGATGATTATGATATGTTTCAATTATATACAATGTGATGATACTACAAGGATGAAGTCACAAACGAGCTCCCGGACGTTTCGTCGTCTGGTTCGGGGGTGTGACAGTAAAATTCCCACTGTATGTCATGAAATCCTTACCTTTATGGATACTTCATCAGGATTTCAACAAATCAAAATGGAACCTTCAGACTAGGAAATCTTATAAGGTACACAATCCTCTATATGTTCATTTTGAGTTTCATTGTTAGAGCATACTTTCTAAATTTTTCTAAAAATACTATTTTTTGGAAAATAGTTACTATTTCCAAACATGTAACCATTCATAACCAATGATTACTTGAAAAATACCATGCTCCCATGAACATACAAAATCCTAAGGTAAACTATTACATGCCAAATAGTTTTCAAAATCTACCATTATCCAGAAATCAACATATTCAGCCTAGCTTAGTAAACCAATTCATTCTTCTCCCGAGGAACTTTCAGTATCTTGATATTCCTATTCTACTACAACCAGTTAGGTTGTAGCAAGGGAAGTGATTGTAAGACTATGGTTTGATCATAACATTCACATAGGTTGAAACATACACATAGGGTTGGGTCCATTGTCATGTATAGTATATGGTATTTTGGGGAACTCACTAAGCTTTTTGCTTATGATTTTATGTTTAAATGTATCAGATACCTCTGGTTCTAAGAGGAAGGGACTGACTTGATCGCACTGCATCTCTTGGAATTTTCCGCACTATCTATTTTATGACTCTACTTTGATGTTTTGAGAATATATTATACTCTGATTATCTTTTAAAATGATTGAATGAATGGTTTTGATTGTTTGAAAAATGAAAATTTTACCTTGCGTTTTTGGGACGTTGCAATATTCATAGAATCCCTGTATATGTTTATTCAATATTCATACAAAAAATGAGCAATAAAGCAAATGAATCGGGACATGATATTTTCATAAATGTAAATAGAACCTATAAAAAGCTAAATCATGATCTCTTTTTTTTCTTTCAAAAACACATTTCAAACATATTAACATTTGTAGTTTCTTCTATACTTATTTCATCAATGTGAAGAGAACTCATCAAAACACAATTCTTATTTAAACACATTTCAAAAACATCAAAATTCACAACAATTTTCTTTTAGTACGAAATATACAACATTCACCTAAAAAATTCTCTTTGTTTGTATCTTTTTCTTCCTTTTGCAAACGCACTTTCAAGAGATAACACATCAAAATTGATGACCGTTTTCTTTCGGCTCTTAATATACAACCTTGACATAATAATTCTTCATCATCTTCAAATACCATAAACTTTTGTATTCGCTCCTATACACAAAAAATTCTAATGGAATTTTAAGAAAATATAAGGAAAAAAGATATGGAAAGAAGAAACAAACTTATTTGAAACTTGTTTATTCTTATGCATTCTAGATAACAAAAATGAAAATAAAAGATAAAACAAAATTAAAAGAGATGAGAAGCAAGTGTTTTTTATATAGGCAAAATATTTCAATTAAATAATCATTTAAGTAGCATATTGTGAAGAGTTTAAGAGTTTCAAATTAGTATTGTTCGATAAAATGATATATCTTTAACCATATTTATGTGAATAACATCCTTTACAAGAGATAGATAAATTTATTTAATTACAACTCAAAAATATCCTATGTGATATCTTGGTTCTTTTTTAGTAACTTGAGATTTCTTCTATAAATTAGCTATTTTCCCAATTTTAACATTGTTTTTGTTCCAATTATTACAAACATACTTATTGATATTTCAAATCAAGTCAAGATTACTAAGCAGTTTGTTGAATATCCTGGGCACGACTAAGAACTCTGATGTATTTTAAGGTCCTAAGCATTTCATAGTCTAATATTTTATTCTAAAAATCAAATAATACTAACTAATTTGGTTACAAAATTAGTTTATCAATTTTTGACAAAACATTTTAACCAATTATTTTGTGATTGCTACTAATTTATTATTTGATAAAATAAAATGTTATTGAATCTACCTAACCTAATAAATAAAACACAAATATGTCACATGTTATCTTTTTAAGTATAATGATGTTATATGTCATTTTCTTAGTATTTTTTTTTATTTCATTTGATATAAAATCTCATATTTTAAGGAGTTAAAATTTTTAAACTTTCAATAAAGGAATAATAAATCGTAAAATTCAAAATTTAGCAATAAATTAAGAATGTGATATATTTTCTTTTTATTCTGATTTGCCAACCGTATGGTACACGAGTTTATAACCTAATATATAATCAAATAAATTAATTTTTTTTAACCGACAAATACGAAAATATAATCTACTCCTAAACAAATATTTAATTTCATCTACTTCAACGACAAGACTTGAACCCTCGACCTAAAAAATGAAGGGCACCACTTCATATCGCTGACCTATAAGTCCTTTAATAAAAAATGACATAGATTTTATACACTTACGAGTGTAAAAATAAATAATATTGAATGAAACCAACTAGACGTACAAAACAAATTTCCAATGTTAATAAATGAGGTAATCCAAAATGCAATAAGTTCTAAAAGCTCTTATGATATAATAAATAAAGATAATATCAAAATCAAAATAAAATACAAAAACGCTTTTAAACCTAAAAGAAAAAGCATAAGGACCAAAATTGTAATTTAGTCAAACTAAACAAATAAAATAAGCATAATTAATCCACCCACACTTCCTCAAACAAAGGATCCTCCAAACTCATTGGAGAATAAACACACCAGTACACTTGTAGCTTTTTTCTCCACCAAGAACCGGAGTTCTAGAAAAAGAGGGAAAAAAAAAAAAAAAAAAAAGACCCACTGTGTGTTTTCGTGTGTGTTTGTGAGAGAAACAAAGAGGACAAAAAGGGCTTTCCATCATGTTACCTGCTCTCCTTCTTTGTGCTTAATTATATGCTTATTTATTGATTCCTCTCTCTAAAATAGAAAAACAAAGACATGGTTATGTATAAAAACCATTAATCCCCATTTCTTCTCGTTTTCTGACTTGGGATTTTTCCATTCTTTCTGTTCTTCATCGTCGTTGATGGATTCACGAGTTGTGTTCTTGATCTAAAAGCATGAATATGACTTTTTAGTGTTTCTAACAAAATTCTGCACTAATGGGTAATGTTAGTGGTAGAGAAGTAAAGAGTAAAGAGTTTGATCAAGCTGATTACTACATGGAATGTGGCCATCGACCGGCGCAAGTTAACAGTAACAACTGCTATCCTACGCATATGCTTCACCCCCCTAGGGCTTCTCAGTTCCCCATGGCTATCGCTCCTCAGGTAACTCAAGCTTCTACATAGTGGTTGAATGGGTAATTTGTATTTATAGGTTTTGTTTCTTGCAAAATTGGGTCTTTAATGGGGTAAATCTTTATATAAACATGAGTAAGAAAAATCATATAATAGAATTGTTTATGCTACAATTGTTGATTTCTAAAAGTCGTTTCTTTCTTGCAAAATATAGTTTTTTTTTTTTTTTTTAATTCTTCGAGAATTAAGATTCATTTGCACAAGTTACATTTTTGTTGCATGAAGTTGTAATAGTCACATTATGATGGTGTTTAATATATCAAATGCCAATTAATTTTGTTGCAACTATATGTATATACAAAATTAGTAAATTAATAGGTAAAGTAAAGTTATCGAAGTAATATAATCTAAAAATAATCAAAGAGTTACATACAAAAAGCATGTTACGAAAATAAAAACGGATTAATTACCATATAAAAACTTGCAAATGCAGAGTCAAAGAGGCGAATTCAACCCAGATAACAACATAAGCATACCAGCAGTAATCGATTGGACTCATGGTGGAAAGCATGTTGCAATTGAAGGATCATGGGATAACTGGAAGACGAGGTTGAAATGATATTTCTTATTCTCTTTTTTTTTTTTTTTTTTTGATGAGAAGTTTTATAATTTTTTTTGTCGGTTTTCTTGAATCTTTTTATTCTATCAGGGAGTTATTAGAAGGTTCAGGCACTCATTTCTCAATTCTTAAGGTGCTAAATTCTGGTGTTTACCATTATCGTTTTATCGTTGATGGGGAATGGACTTATTCTCCTGATTTACCACACGAAAGTGATGAGTTTGGGAATATTTACAATGTTTTGGACTTAAAGGTATACTTCTTTAGTCATTCTACTATCATTATCTCTGTCACTGTCACTGTCAGTCTTCAGTGCCAGTAAGTAAGGATGTAACAGTAAGGATGTGAGAATCTAGAGAAACTTAACGTTATGATTTACCGCTCTATGTTGACACCCATGGGGTTCATTTACCTTTTTTGGTTGTGGGACCGGTTGTTAGTTTGGTATTGATATTTACTTTTTTTGTAATGTTGGTTGTGGGACCCGTTGGTAATTTCACCCATGGAAAAACATTTACCTTTTAGTTGTGTGACCAAAATTGCATTTATTTTTCTAGAAAACGTTTTGAGAAAATAGAGTTTGAGTTTTAATATTCAGATTTCAATGAAAATTTAGAAAACGCGTTTGGTTTAAAGTTTAAACTAGTGGAGTTTTTTCTTTTTCCATTTTAGAAATTTAAAAAACTTTGGAAAACTATAAAAATCGTTTTTCTAATTTACATACGATTTGGAAAATATTTTGAAAACTGAATCAACAAAATACGTTTTCAAAATTTTCATTTCCATTTGAAAATTTTCATTTTCACTTGAAAATTTTCCACAACCAAACGCAACTTAAGATTTTGTCTTTTTAATATTTTGGTATTTTTCAGGGTTATTACAATGAAAACGTGGTGAGCGATCAAGAAACCGAATACCCTTCTTCCCCAATCTCAAGCTACAACAATGCATCCTTCACTTTAGATGATTATAGTGAGAAATTACCCGAAATGCCCCCGCTATTACAACATATGCCTTTGAATCAAGCATCTTTTTCCAAGAACTATGAAGGGGTTTTTCAGAAACCTTTATCAGCCAATTTGGACCATTTGTATATTAAGAGAGATGATAGCAGTCAACCCGTTGTTGCTCTGAGTTCTTCCCAACGATTTCGGTCAAAATTTGTGACAACGGTGCTTTACAAACCATTTAAAAAAGCAAGAAAGTAAGAAAGTAAACAATTTTATTTTAATGTTTCGTGTTCTTTTTTTTTTTTGTTTATTTTGGGCTTTTTAGATCAGAATTTGTGTTTTGGAGGCCATTGAGTCTATAGTTAAGGAAAAGGTAAGATCTTGATTTATAAAGATTCTACTATATGATTACTCCATTTTGTAATTGGAATTTTTTTTTAGTATATATGATTAGAACCATTTATAAATCGGTTCTCTGTTTGAAAGGCCACACATAATACCCCGTTTACAAGCCAACATTGGATACCTCTTTTGAATTGTTAAAAGACTTTCAAGCATAATTCGATCTACTTTAATTAAAAATTAATTTTTTTTCTGTTTTGTTTTTTATTTAGGTAATTAATTCGGAGCTGATTGTACCATTTAACAATTTGGATTCCTATACATAAAATTTATAATTTATTAACTTGTATGATAGTTGTAAAGTGTTGTACTTTACGGTGATGGATCAATTTTTTTTTATGTGGAAGACTACCCGATTAGTTTGCTAAACATTGTAATTTTTTATTATATAAATGTATTTATATATTAGAAATCAACTAGTAATTGAGTCTCCCTTTGGCAGCGAGTTTTTATGTGTTTTTCTTGCGTATTAGGAGTGAAAAACGAATGAGTAAAACTGATATTTTACAAAGTTTAAGGGGGAAGGGGTAAAAGTGATATTTTAAAAAGTAAAATGATGAAAAATATCATTTTATGATATACAATGATTGCAAGTAAAAGATTATACGAAGTTGAAGGATTAAAGTTGCATTTTAGGTTGCAAGTAACCATTACACAATGTTAAGGGTTAAAAGTTGTATTTTACGCCAAATGATATTTTTTGTTGAGATGATCAAAGTAACATTTTAAAAAAAATAGTGAAAAATACATTTTGCAAAGTACATGATGAAAAAATCGTATTAATATATACTACGGGATAAGTATGGAAGTTCAGAAAACGAAATGGATAAAAATGATATTTTACAAAGTTGAAGATGCAAAGGATAAAAATGATATTTTAAAAATTAAATGATGAAAAATATCATTTTACAAAATAAAATGATTAAAAAGGACATATTGTATAAAATTGAGAGATTAAAATTATACTTTACTATTAACATGTTTTTACACCATGCATTACAACTTGTCCTATTATTAATAGTAATTTTGTTTCACAACCATAAAAATTGGAATTTAGTTATATTTATAATTACTTTATTTTTATTGATCTTTTAACTAGTTTATATACTATGAGTGTTTTGTTTGGTGGCTGAAAAACCAAAAGTTGTAGCTTTTTATTGTGCAAAATTTGTGGGCAAAAGCTATAAGGTAAAAACTATTAAAAGTTATGTCTTGAAAGATACTTTTTTAAATTACAAATATAGCTTAATCTCTTAATTACTTTGTGAAAAATAGTCAAAAAAAAACTTAAACCATTTGCGATCTTACTTGTCCATCTGTGAACGTATAAATCGTTAAAGCACATTCGTGCTTTAGTGAGTTGTATGTTCGCAAATTGACTAAGTTCATCTGTGATTTCGCGTCCATTTGTGATTTCCCATTTTTTAGGGGTATAAAAACGTAATTTTTTTTCTTTCATTTTTTAAACTCTTTGTTGGAGAACTTTCTCTTTAGAAGCATTATGGACGAATTCATTTTATTAAAGAGGTTTTAAACAAATTTGTTAAAGAAATAACAATTAAAGTGATAATTTTTTTGCAAAACTTTATACATAATAAGGTTGTTTCGTAGTCAAACCCTATTAATGTTTTAGTTAAAAAAAAAAAAAACTAAATTAAAAAAAACGCAAAATCGCAGTTGTGATGAGAGGAAATTGCAGAGATATTATGTACAAGTCGCTATAAAGCATAGTTGTGCGTTAACGACTTGTACGTTCATAGATGGCTTAAAAAATAGCAAATGAGCTTAATCTTTTTTTTTTAAACGACAAATCTAACCTACTCCTAAACTACACATTAAAAAAAACGCAAAATCGCAGTTGTGATGAGAGGAAATTGCAGAGATATTATGTACAAGTCGCTATAAAGCATAGTTGTGCGTTAGCGACTTGTACGTTCATAGATGGCTTAAAAAATAGCAGATGAGCTTAATCTTTTTTTTTTAAACGACAAATCTAACCTACTCCTAAACTACACATTAAATCAACCTATGTCACGATAGAACTTGAACCCTCAACCTCAAGGAAGGAGGATAACACCAAATATCACTAGGCTAAATCCATGTGCAATTTTGGTAGCTAAAAATGTAATTTGAGTTTTTTTTTTTTTTGCTATTTTCCATAAACTAATTAACATATTTGGCTAAATTTACAATTTTCTCAATAATATACATTTGAGATAACATTAAAATGCATGTTTGAGATAACTTTAAAATTCAGACATACGAATTAACTAAAAGATGATATCTAAATTTTTTAAAATAAAGAGATACAAATTAACTTAAATATAGATATATAAACAAGATATACTTTGACACACATACATAATTAAATAAATAAACAAATAAACATATCATTTTTTTCATTTAAGCGTATATTAATTTGCTTTTCATATAAATTTCTTTGCTATTATGTGCTATGACATAGTTGATTTTTCTAATTGCCAATTTTCATTTTTGACATTCTTTGTTAATTTTTTTGACATTATTCTTTTTCAATTTGACCGCTAATTTATCACCATTGATTATTATATAATCTATTAATTAATAATTATTTATATTGTAATTAAGTATAATGATATGAATATATTATTGGGAAAATGATTTCTAAGGGTAAGTAAGTTTTAATATCGCTCCCCTCTTGCTATTTCCTAGTATTACTACATTGTCCGTGTATTGTTTTGAGAGGTATGATGCATTAAATAAAAATAGATTGATATTGCTTGTATATTACTTTTCACATTGTTAAAATGTTTGAAAGAATAGGTCTGTGGTTTTTGAAAGGTATGTATATGCCTTATTCTACCATTTTGTCTCATTTGTTTAGTATAACATCTTACTTCCATTTATTGTTATAACAACAATGTAATTTGAGAATTCTAGAGTATAATGCTATAATGACTTAATTATGCATGCATCTATGTCATATGCAAGAAAGACCAAATTGCCACTGTTTACCCTTTGTTTTTTGGCTAAAATATTTCGACATTTTTTTAAAGAAATTAACCATAGTGCATCAACTCCACTAAAATTAAGGAGCATAAATTAGATGTGAATTACTTTAATGGCGAGATCCCACCAGAATTTATGAATTGTAGCTCTTTAGAACATCTTTGTCTACATGCAAATCCTTCGAATCTTGTTTAATTCAGTGTTTCCTTGAATCTAATTTCATGAAATCTACCTGATTTCTTTCATACATTTCCAAATTTAAGCTATTTTCTGCTACTCATTCGAATAATCTTTTTGGTACAATACCCCCTTCGTTATGTAATTATGGAAGCATTTCTTCGTTTATCTTAAGAAACAATTTGCTCATTGGTTCAATTGATCTAAACTACTCATCAATGATAAACCTTACGTTCCTTGATTTAGCTGATAACAAATTTCTATGTGCTATTCTTGATAATCTTCTTGCTTGCCTAAAATTAAAAATGATCGATCTTGTTGGGAACAATCTCACTCGACAAATCCTAGAAACCTTCAAAAGATTCAAATCTTTATTTTATCTTCTACTCTCAATATGCAACTTGAACAACCTCTCTGGTTCCTAAGACGGAGATTTATACAAAGACCTGAAAAAACGATACTCTATTTTTCGAATCATTTTAAAACAAACTTATCATTATAACTCATTTTTCCTATATTATTATATAAATATTAACTATAATTGATATATATTTTTGAATGAACGATAGTAAGGCACACAACTACAAAACGAGTATAATTGCATTAAGAAGGGATAGGACATGTTAGGTATGTAACTTTTGAGAACTTCAAGCTTTTAACATCTACAAAATACTTCAAATCAAAGACTATTTCAAAGAGCGTTTCATAACTTTGCAAATTGATTTAATTATTTTTTTTTTGAATTTATGTTTCTATTTTATATTTTAGAAAGATGTCATTTTATGTTACTTTATATGTTTTAAAATTTTCTAGCTAATTTTAACGAACACTCATATACAAATAAAAATTATAGCTTCCAGTTTTTAACTACCAGCCGCCGCCCATTAGCTACTACCTATCAGCTACCAACAATAACAAATCTATAATAGAAACACACCTAGTTCCTAATTAAGTGAAGCGAAAAAAACAAAGAGTGAACACTACATGTGATGGACCGAGTCGAACCAATAAAAAAAGATCTAGATTTACAAAAACGCGAGTTCAACATGACTAGTTAAATGCCTTAAAAGGAGTAAAAAGTGCCTACTTGATGCTTAAACTCGGACTTTTGCAAATAATAATAATAATAATAATAATAATAATAATAATAAATAATAATAAATAAAATAAAATAAAATAAAAAATTTCACAAATGGATTTTTTTTAACTCATTTGCAAAAACCATTTTTTAAAACCAACAATATAGAAGGGTTGTGTTGTTTTTTAAGTCTCCGTATAAAACTTTACAATTTATTTTTATAACATCAAACAACTACATCTCTTTCTTTTTATTTCCGATGTATGATGAGTTTTGATAATATTAATCATTTGATTTGCAAATTTAAATATAAGGTTCACCATGTCTTTTATTTATTTGTTTCTTATTTAGTCCAATAATATAAAATAAGTCCTAATTTTTTTTTTTTAAAAAAAAAATAGATCCTGAATTTTTATTATATAAATATCATATAAAATTTAAAACTAAATGGGTAATACACAATTTTATTCACAATTTTAACGTTTTGGGTTCAGTTCGGGCCCAATCAATTTAAGCGAGTCCAATTTTTAAACCGATCATATGACATTATTATTACATCTTAAATGAGCAAGAACTTTAAGACATTGTCATGGGCCTCATGGCCTCATGGGTCAGGGAAACACATATGAGCGTGAAAATTTTGTTTTGTGTATCAACTATTATTAAAGCATGCCTAATAATATACTTATCTAACCTAATAAAATAAAAAATTTCTAATATAATTATCTAACCTAATAAATAAAAAAAATTCTACTTGCTATATATATATATATATATATATATATATATATATATATATATATATATATATATATATATATATATAAAAGTTGTGGGAGTTGTACGTTATACGAGTTGGTTAAAACAAAAATTTTAATATGAAAGTTTATACAGAAATTTATTTAAATTTGAAATTTTAGATTTAAAATTTAAAATTTAGATTTTTAATTTAAAAAGAAACATATTAAATATA